ATACATGAGATAAAACATAATTATTCAATATTTAAAACCTCATGCATGCATAAACTAAATGAGCAACCAAATAGAATAATTACATTAAGTTTAGAGTTACCCATTTCTTTTTCATGTGTGGCAAGAGCATCTTGAATATCATCATCTTCATCACCATTGCTCCCACACACCTACAAGAGACATTTAAGTAGATTTTGGTATCCAAATTGCTTTGGATCCGTGAATGTTAGTTTCAATGCCCCTTGTTCCTTTTGGAACCCATACTTGTCTAATTTTAAACCTTTTTCCTTTCTTTAAAGGACAAATATGTTCCTTATGACCATGATAATGACAATGTGAACATATTGTCATTATTGAACTAGATGAATTATTTAAAATGATCTCTTTTTCTTTTGTTAAGCATTCAAGCTTAACTTTCAAATTAAAATTTTCTTTTTCAATATTTTCAAATTTCATTTTTGAAAGTTCTAAATCCTTCTTCAAGAGTTCATTTTGATTTTCAAAATCCATTTTCGTTTCTAGAAGAAGTTTGTTTAATTTGAAATTTTATTTTTCAAAGTTTTCAGATTTTAGTTTTGAAAGCTCTAACTCATTTTTCAACATTTCATTTTGTTTTTCCAAGTCTGTTTTAGCTTTCAAAAGAAGATCATTTTTAGCTATAAGTTTAGAAATCAAATTCCTATATTTGGAGTTCATGATCTCAAACACCGAAAATAATTCATCATAAGCATCTTGTAACTCATTAAAAGATTTTTAATTTAATTTATTTGAGTTAGAAGATACATTTGGCTCTGAGAGAGCTAATAGAGACATCACCTTTATTGGTTCTTCTTCTTCCTTGTCTCCATAGATCTCCTCAAGCTTATCCCACATTTCCTTGGCACTTGAACAAGAAAAAACTTCTTCATATACATTAGGATCAATTGCACAACATAACATGTGCATAACCTTTGTGTTTTGTTGAGCTTTCTTCCGTTCTTCATATCAAATGCTTGGATAAATATCATAATAAACCTCTTCCGACGATGATAATTTGTCCCGTTGAAGTGTGGAGGCACGTCAATTGGTCTGGACTCTTCCATGGAGAATGAACCGGAAGTGGACGCCATCTTTATCGATTTAACTCTTCCCGAATCGACTCAAGAGGTGGTTAAACCTTCAAATGAGTGAGACTCTGATACCAATTGTTGAGTTAATCGATCGACGTAATCGACCAAGAAGGGGGTGAATTGGCAATTGAAATTTTTGTGGAAGCTTTTGCAGAAAATTGAAAGTAATTGTGCAGCGATTTAGAGTGGTTCGACTTTCTCAACAATAGTCTACGTCGACTACCTTAGCTATCCACACTAAAGATTTTCCACAAATTCACTAATTTGTCTTTCTTTTGAGGACAAAGAGTAACCTTACAAATCCCTCAAGAATTATACCCCAAATTCTTGAGAACACTCTCTCCCAAAGAGAAGATTACAAATTTGCAAACTTACAAGGAAATCCTCACAAGGTAGATTGTTTGCAGAATTCTAGAACAAAGAAAATAACACTCAAGAATGAATACAATTGAGTACAAGTAGTGTTCTTGAAAGCAAAATAAATATGGAATGAAAAATAGGCTTGAAATGCTCAAACTTGAGGTTTGATGCTTTCTCTTTGATTCTCTCTTGATTAGTTGCTTGTTGTTTTTTTGTTATTGATCAATGGCTTCTAAGCTTGTTTAAATACACCTTCAAATGATTCTGAACGTTGGGGATGCTTAGTGGAGTCAATAGAGCCATTTAAGTGTGAAAACAATTAATAAATTCAATTGGGAGCGTCAGTGCATCGATGCATACCCCTGGTGCATCGGTGCATCAATGTAAAATTCAAATATTTTGACCGTTGAACCCTTAGTGCATCGGTGCACTAAGACTGCATCGATGCATCAAGTGCATTTGATGTTTCAAAATAGCCAGAGTGCATCGATGCATGGCTGGTGCATCGATGCATCAAATGCATTCGATGTTTTCATAAAATCCTTAGTGCATCGGTGCATGGTATGTGCATCAATGCATGAAATGCATTCGGTGTTCAATTTAATTCATGGTGCATCGATGCATGGATCGGTGCATCGGTGCATCACTTTGATAAATTGATTTTAGGCTTGATTTCGGTTCAAAATACTTTGTGAAAATTGTTTAAAAAATAGTTTAAGTATAAAACACAATTTTACACATTTAGTAAGGTTTAAAATTGATCTTGAAAGACTTGGAGTAATAATTTGATATTCGATTAATTGAATCAAATATACTTAGAAAAATATTTGTAAAATCTTAAAATTCATTTAAACTTAGTTTGTTATATCAAAACATCAAAATGTTTTCAACAATCTCGGGTCTCCAATGTTCAATCAGAGCCGAAATCAACGCCGAGTACACATTAAAGCCACGAAAAAATATGGTTGGATATAGATCGGATTGCTGAAGTTATATCATCATCCGCTTATGCGAATCTCTCGATGTCACCCCACGCTAATGAATGCTCCATTATTCTTCCGGACGGAGTTTGATTGACGAAATATGAACATCATCGAGGCGTAACATGTAATCTCGGGAAGCCATTTTTCAAGATTTCTTTATGAAGTTTGGATTTTGCTAGGATGGTTAAAAACCTAAACCCCATAACCCCTATTTATAGCCCTAATTCCAACGGCCATCTTCAAAAACCATGAGGAACTCGTCACCTCGGCGTGACGAGTTTCATTGTGTCCGTTGCCCAAGTAACTGTTGTCCAACAACTAGTTTTTTTTTTAATTTAATTTTTATATTAATTTTTTTTGCAATACTTAAAAAAATAATAATATTTTAATAGACTCATCACCTAAATACAATAAATTAATGGTCCACATAGGGCTCACTCATCCGTTTCCATTAATATTATATATCTCAATGAACTCGACACCTCTAGGTGACGAGTTCATCATACACTGTAACAAATGTTGTAAATCCCAAATTAAAAATTAAGGTACCCTAATTCCCCAAATTTTTTTCAGGCCGCCCTATTGGGGCAAAAAAAAAACAAACCGTTTGTACTGTTCCTTGCACCTTTGTTTATATTGGTGTAAAGCTCTCAAAAGTTCATATCAGAGGAAATTTGGATTTCTGTGTATATACTATGGACATCATATTCACGTTAATGGGTTAGGTAATTTCTTAAAGCACCTTTAGTTGTTTTTTCCTTTTATAGGAATTAAAAAAAATTTACGTATTCATATTATTATTATTTTCTAAGCTTTTCGACGCATCCTGGGATCAAATCTTTGGAAATCTATAATGGACCCTGCATTAATGTCATATGATAACAAGGATGGTCCACACACTCATAGGAAGGCAAATTAATGCATTTATTTTTATACCAAATTCTTTCTTTGTATCAGTTTAGAACCGATAAAGTAAACAAAGATTTTGAACTAGAGCTTCACTTGATCCAACAGAAGTTTCCCATTTACTTTCCTGCTTAACTTCAGTGTCAGTAATTCCTCAAGTAGCATAGTCTTGTACAGTGCTTTGTTTCTCTTCACAATTTCTGGCAATGGACCAATCTGAGTACCATTTTCCGGGCTGTGAAACGCTGCAATTGACAGCCTCTATTTCTCCTGATTAACCACAGCTCTGGTCTATGCTTTTATATTCTCCATTGCTCATAATCTGCATTTATAATTATAACTATTATATACAATCAATCATGTCTAAGTCTATGTAGCTTCAATTGTTGTTATATTACCTCTATCATGTCGCCGATATTGACGATCAATGCGCCGGGATGGGTTTAACTGGCACCCATTTCTCATTTTTCTTGATTTGTAATCCTTCCACCTCATTCACTTGAAGCAATATTGTTAAGGCTCTAGCATCAGAGTGCGGAGATGCACCAAGAACCTTGTCGTAACCGGTTTTTGTCCGGGCACGAAATATTTATTTGGCGGGAAGATTGATATGAATAAATGGTTTTGAAAATAATTTGAAAGTCGCCATCGGCCTTTTGGGTCAGGTAGGTCGAATACCTAAAAATTATTTTTTTTAAAAGAGTTTTAAGAAAACATCAATAAAAAAATAAACTGATTTGCGTTTATAACCAAAAATTCGTTCTTTTTAATAATAAAAAGGGATTCGTGGTCGGTTACGTTTAGGGAAGGATTAGCACCCCTACAACGCCCAAAATTGGTACTTTTTAATTATAAATTGTCTCTATTATTAAAATTTAAAAATTCAAAATATATTTAATTTATAATCCTATTATTTCAAAATTATATAAAAAAATATTTAAAAATATCGGAAAAGGACTTCTAGGTGCCTTAAGACAGCTCTTTTCTTTGATATTGATAAATATTAATTTAAATTAAATAATATTTTTTATAATTTTTAATTTTAAAATACCAGAATAGGACATCCAGTTGTATTAAGACTGTCCTTTTCTTCGATATTGAAAAATAATTATTAAAATAACTTATTAAAAATATATATAAATAATTATTTATTATATATATTTATAACTATATAATAATAAAAGTATTTAAATATAAACAAATAAAACAATAAAAATACAATTAGAACGATATATTTAAAAGCAGTAAAATAAATGAAAACATTTAAAATTAGTGACTAAAATATAATAAAATTAAGATTAAAAAACTAATTTATAATTAATCAAAATTATAGGGATTAAACATACTATTTTTTATTTTATTAATTTAATGACTAAAATAAAACTATATAAAATTCGGATATTAGATTAAAATAAATTAAAACATATTATTCAGATTAAAATATTAATTATTAAAATTATAGGACTAAATCTGTTATTTATCCTATATATATTATTTTAATATAAAGGACTAAAACAAATAAAAATGAAATTAAAGAACCGAATTAAAAGGATTATAAACTTGATTTAGTGACTAAAATGTAAAAATTACAAGTTGGAATGGCTTCGGACGGGGTTTACCCTTTATGAAATTACATAAATACCCTCCCCAAAACGACGTCGTTTGGGAGAGGGTATTAATACCCGAAACCGGCTGGCCCTACGGGCCAGCTTCTCATTTCTTCATTTCTGTTCTCTCTCTAACAGAGAGAGAGCAGAGTTTTCTGGCTTCTCTCTAAACTGAGAGAAAGCCGTCCCGGTCAGCCACCGTTGCCGGGCTCCGACCACCGCTGCCGGCCCGTTAATGGTGGCTGGAAATTACAAAAAAAAACACCAAAATATAGATCGGGACGATCTAAAACCGTTTCCGGTGTTCTTTTTCCTTAAAAAGCTCCCAATCGGAGCAAATCTACAAAAGTACCTTCTGTTTTCGTTGTATCCGGCGACGGTTGGGGTTCTCCGATGACAGAGTAAGTTTCTTTCCTCTCTTCTCTCCTTTTTTTTTGTTGCTGCGTTGTTGTTGACTACTGGTTGTGGGTTATTTGTTATTTGTTTTTGTTTCTTTGTTCTCTGTTTATGTCTCTCTCTCCGTCTCTGTCCTTTTTTTTTGTTCGCAGATGGGGTGATGGCTTTATAGCCATCACCGGTGTGGCCATCGGACCGGTCTGAAGGGTGAAAAATTCGGTGAGTCACCAAAGCTATGCTGGTGACTCACCATAGAGGCGACGTGGACGGTCAGGGTTGTGGCAGCAGAGCTTCTGGAGGCTTCTTCGGGGTGGCTTCGTGGCATTGGTGGAGTGTAGGCAGCGGACATGTGGCCTTCTGGAACCAACGGCGGTGGCTGAAGACTTCTGAGGCGGCTGGAAACCATTGAGGCGGCGGCGCACGGGGCTAGGGTTAGAAAACCCTAACTGAAACCCTAAATGTTTTAGGGTTTCCATCTGGTTTGGGCTTGTAATATGGGCCTGATTATTGGGCTCCGGGTTTTGTAATATTAATAAATAATATATATTAATAATAATAATAATAATAATTATAATAATAATAATTATAATAATAATAATAACATTAAAATGAAAAAAAATGAATATCTTCAGCTGCCCCTCTTTGCTTATTCTTAATAAGAATAGAGCAAAGACGAAAAGATAATAAGTTTTTTTCATTTGACTTCACTTGATTAGTATAGAGATGTTGAATAAATTCTTCTTTTTCTTTCAGATGAGTTCTTCTCATTATGAACTTTCCGCTGGGGATGATGTTGACCTCTTTCTTTCTGTGATAGAGTCATTCAAAAGGTTGAATAAGCTCTTCTTATTATGAACTTCTTCTTCTCCTGATGAGTTCTTCTCATTATGAACTTCTCTGGGAAAACTGACCCATCAAGTGATGGATTTGAGCAAAAAGTTGAACAAATTCTTCTCATTATGAACTTCTTCTTCTTTCTTCAGATGAGTTCTTCTCATTATGAACTCAAACTGGAAAAGATAGTCCATCAAGTGATAGATTTGAACAAAAGGTTGAACAAATTCTTCTCGTTATGAACTTCTTCATCCTTCTTCAAGTAATGAGTTCTTCTCATTATGAACTCTACCTGGAAATTTTAATCCATCAAGTGATAGATTTGAGCAAAAGGTTGAACAAATTCTTCTCATTATGAACTTCTTCATCCTTCTTCAGATGAGTTCTTCTCATTATGAACTTCTCTGGAAAAGCTGACCCATCAAGTGATGGATTTGAGCAAAAAGTTGAACAAATTCTTCTCATTATGAACTTCTTCTTCCTTCTTCAGATGAGTTCTTCTCATTATGAACTTCTCTGGAAAAACTGATCCATCAAGTGATGAATTTAAATCTTTGCTAAAATCTTTGAAATTCCTGTCAAAATTCAACATGGATGAGAATGAATGAAAATGCACCTATTTTTGCAAATGCCTAAATATGATGCATGACTGTTAAGTTATTTGATTTCAGATTGGTGAACTGAATATTTCTTCAGTTGTAGAAACCCAATAAATCTTTCTTCTTCATATCAGAGAATCTATCATCTTTGACAAATGTAGATATAATGTCACAAAATCTCTTGAGAATAAAACTCAATAGTATAGGCTCCTGAAAAGCTTGCCTGCATGTGACATGTTGATTCTGATAACAACTCATCTGATTATGAAATGACCTTTCAAGATGATTTCACAAATATCGATAGTTCTTTTAATACCGTGAAATCTTGAATTCTGATTCTGATGAGGAGAATAAACTGTTATACTTGACAAAAATGGGATTCTCAGAGGCTGAAACTTCAATAACCATGGAGAGATGTGGTTCAGATTCATCAATTGCAAAATTGACAAATTTTATATGTACTGCTCAAATGGCTAAGGTTACTGACACATTTCTTCCGGTAAAAGATGGGAAGCCATTATGCGATGATCCCCATTACAAGAAAAGGCAAAATTCGGGCTATGATTTTTGGGAAAGGAATAAACAGAAGAAGCTTGAAAATAAGCTTCTTAATGAAGACGATCATACAGTTCATCTTTTAATTCCAATGATTGGTTCTGTAGTTCCTACCAAACCAGATCAGATAACTCAAAGAACACTTCCAGAAGATGCTATTGAGTCTCCTTATTTCTACTATGAGCAAATTCATCTTTCAAATCCAATGATTGGTTATGTGGTTTCATATCAAACCAAATCAGATAACTCAAAGAACACTTCCAGAAGATGCTATGAGCACATTCCTCTTCCAAATTCAATAACTGGTTCTGTGGTTCATACCAAACCAGATCAGATAACTCAAAGAACACTTCCAGAAGATGCTATTATAAAATTCATCTTTCAAATTCAATGACTGGTTTTACCAAACCAGATCAGATAACTCAAAGAACACTTCCAGAAGATGCTATGAGCACATTCCTCTTTCAAATTCAATAACTGGTTTTACCAAACCAGATCAGATAACTCAAAGAACACTTCCAGAAGATGCTATGAGCACATTCATCTTTCAAATTCAATGATTGGTTTTTACCAAACCAGATCAGATAACTCAAAGAACACTTCCAGAAGATGCTATGAGCACATTCATCTTTCAAATTCAATAACTGGTTTTACCAAACCAGATCAGATAACTCAAAGAACACTTCCAGAAGATGCTATGAGCACATTCCTCTTCCAAATTCAATAATTGGTTTTTACCAAACCAGATCAGATAACTCAAAGAACACTTCCAGAAGATGCTATGAGCACATTACATTTGTTCCAGTTAATGTTTGGACTAGGATATCACAGTACTTATTCGATGTAGAGCCAGAATTTGTAGATTCGAAGCATTTTCATGCTACTACACTGAAAAGGGCTATATTCATAATTCTGCCAATTGAGAACAGATTCTCTCTTATTCTGCTTCCTCCATGTGTTGATGCTTTTTCATTGACAAAGAAATGATGGCATTCCTGGGATCCAATAACAAAGTTGAACTGTTTATAAACATGTACAGGAAGTGCCAAATTGATAGAAAGGATCTGTAAGGCTCATGAAGCTTATGACAAAGAGCCACATTCGAGTGTCCAGAAGTATGTTCTTGATGAGTGCTGAAAATGGAATCTAGTATGGGTTGGAAGGAATAAAGTTGCTCCACTTGGATCTGATGAGGTGAAAATGCTTCTAGGTTTCTCTAAAAACCATACACAATAATCTGTATAGAGACATGTTCCATGGTGGTATCAATGTCTTGTTTCTTTTTGCTGGAATCAGTGCTGCAAAGATCGCCTTCTACTGTCTTAGTATATCTTTGAAAACAGATGTGCAAGAACTGAATGGTGATCGGTTGGAGCAATTGATGAGTAGATTTGGCGAATTCGACCTTGTTGTCGGTAGCATCCCGTGTAACAATCTTGATGTTCATGGCTTTAAGATGGTGATGATTTGCTTACTTTATATTCCATGCTTTTAAAAGGTATTAACATAAAGTGATATTCAGAAATCTTTAATTTATTTCAAAATTATGTTAATTCAATAAAAGAGTAAATTGAATTTTCGAAAATAAATTGAATCTCAAATAAATTGAACTTGAAATAGATAGAATTGTATTCAAAGTTATGGCAAGCATAAGAATGATAAAAATTCAAATGTCTTAACAAATTATTAACATAAGTATTTCTAAATTAATCAAGTTGACACAATTTAGAGAAATGATGTAAGCTTTTGTCTGGAAGATCTCAAACGTTGTCGAAATGCTTGTAGATGTGAAGTTTCTTCCAAACTGTCAAAATCTTAAGAGGGTTCAATTGCCAGATGCCTAATATCAACCTGCATTTGAGCCGCCATTTCAGGTTTTCAACTCAAATCCTTCCTTTGGTTACAAGATGCCCTTTGCGGGTTTTCACCTTGACCCCCCCCCTTTTTCTTCTTTTTTCTCTTTTTTTTTTCTTTTTTTTCTTTTTTTTCTTTTCTTTTTCCTTTTCTTTCTTTTTCTTTTTTTCTTCAAACATAATATTTCTTGACAGAATCCGAGTTTATTGGATTTCTCAGAATTTTTCCATCTATTTCTGCCAAGATCAATGCTCCTCCGGAAAAGGCCTTTTTTATAACGTATGGCCCTTCCCAATTAGGCATCCATTTCCCACGAAAATCTTTATATATAGGCAAGATCTTTTTTAGTAATAGATCACCCTCTTGGAATTCTCTTGGATGTACTTTTTTGTCATGAGACTTCATCATCCGTTTTTGATACATCTGTCCATGGCAAATAGCTTTCAATCTTTTCTCCTCAATAAGGTTCAATTGATCAAATCTAGCTTGGATCCATTCAGATTCATCCAATTTTATTTCTCTCAATATTCGAAGCGATAGAATCTCAACTTCAATTGGTAAGACTGCTTCCATCCCATAGACTAAAGAAAAAGGCGTTGCCCCAGTAGATGTTCGAACAGTAGTTCGGTATGCGTATAGAGCAAAAGGTAACTTCTCGTGCCAATCTTTGTAAGTTTCAGTGGTCTTTGTAATGATTCTCTTGATGTTCTTGTTTGCTGCTTCAACTGCCCCATTCATCTTTGGACGATATGCCACTGAGTTTGCATGTTTGATCTTAAACTGTGCACAAAGTTCGGTCATCATTTTG